ACTCATTCTTATTTGATCATGCTAAAGGACCATCTTATGATAGTAAAATAGTGTTCCCGCAATTTGTAAGAAGAGTTTATACTAGACATGTGTTAGTAACTTTAGAAGGGTGTTAGATAGTGGCCTACACGGCTACAAGGCTACAATACATATATCAGTTCTATATTATTGCTATAGGCAATACTGATAATAACTTTGAAAAAAACGTAGATTAGAAGAGTATTTAGCTATGAAGCATATGTTGGTGTGTGTTCCACTTTGTTGTGCAACCTTATTTTCAACACAACATAAATACTAAATAGACCATCTTCAATTTCCCTTCTCAAATGTACTTACAATCACATTCGCAATTATTATAAGGACAAAGTTCTATACTTAGCCAACAACTGTAAGACTTGGTAATAACTAAAAGAAATTAAAACACAACATAAATTAAGAGTATTTGTATATGCATTTTGCAAACAAATATATTAGTTTAAACACTATAATTCAAATTATTTGTTTGTTTTTTTTTCTCTTTTTTGGGTATTTGCAGAGCCACAAGAGCGGGGGTGAGAATTTATCCCAAAATCTCCTTTTGCTCGTAAAAGACATAATGTTTTTCAAATTTACCTTTATTTTTGGGAGGCACTTAATGTAAATGAGTGGATTGAAAAATAAATAAATAATAGCGATTTCAGTAAGTTTACAAGGTTTTTGTTCACTTTAAAGGATTGAACACTATGAGGCATTTAAAGTTAAGGGATAAAGCTGAAATTTTGGTTAAAGTTTAGTTATTATCTGGCAATATGAGAAGTTGAGAACTCTACGTACTCTAATTTCGAAGTATATTAAAGGGAGTATTCATACCAATTTTGTAATAAATGTTGGACCGTATGCGTGTACATTTGGTTTTGTTTTGGATCTTGGGCAAATTTAATCCATCCGAAATAAAATTTAATCTAATTCGATTCAAATTTCTTACCAAATCTAATCCAAATTAAAATTCGATTCTAAAAATTTGATACGAATATATGAATTAAAATACATTGAATTTTTTTAATTAGGGCCTAACTAATGTGATTTTATTTTTCAAGGAAACAAACTAATGCGATTATTATAAAAACTAAAATTGCGATTTACAATTAAAAATGCATTATCAAAATAAATTTTGTCCAAACCCATAATAAGTGTCCAAGTATTGAAATCATAATGTAATAGTCCAAGTCAGTTAACTAAATAGATTGCACTTAGGGCCGAGCAAAACTACCCAAAAGACCGAAAACCTGATCCGTAACCGTTTCGAATATTAGGGTACCCGATCCGATAAACATAACGGTTCGGGTACCCATTCTGATAATTTGTTATCGGGTATGGTTATTAGGTATCATGTTAAAATTAACGGTTACCCGATCCGATTCGATAAGCAATTTTTTGGTTTTTTTTTCATACTTAAATCTATTTTTCCATAATCTAAACTCTTACTTTACTTCATAACCACTTTATAATATTAATGATTAGTAGTATTATTAATAATTTGGTCAAGATCATGTGGTATTGTTGTTAATTTATGTTAAATGATATTATAATAACCACATTATTAAATCTAATAATCATTATTGGATACTTCATCGGATACCCGATAACCGATTTGAAGTACCCGAAGTCCGGGTACCCAAACTTATCAGTTAGATTTATAGTTATCACTTTTAGTGATAATGGTTATTGGGTTCCCGAACCGTTAGTATAACGGTACGGGTACTCGTCTCATGCTCACCCCTACCTCGTACAGGCTAAGACATCAGATTGCAAAGCATAACTATGTGAGAACAATCCTTATACTCTTTTTGTTTTTATTACTTGCTCCACTTCCTTTTACGACCATATTTTATTATTTCTCCATTCCCTTTTTATTTTGTGAAACACTAAACGAGGCCCTTATTTTACCGAGTAACACCCACATTTAAAATGAATGGACGAATTTACCATTTTCATATACTCTACGGTTTTCAGTTCTTCACCGCTCTAACTCGAGAACATTCGCTCTCCTCCTAACAAATTAAACCACCACGCCACCACCAATTAAGGGACATTCGTCAGAAAAAATATGGTGATACTTTTTTTTGTATGTTCTGACAAAGCCATAACCATTTAATTAAGGTTGAAAACACAAAAATTCGTAAACCCGCATGGTTACGTTATACGAAATTTTTGGGATGTTTAACCATGATATTCTTAAAAATGCCTAGAAATTTCATATAACCGCATACGGTGCTATGAAAAACCTTGGCGTTTCTGTCATGATTGTCCAAAAAAAGCAAACCTAAACTACCAAGGCGAAAACGCCTAAAATTTTTGTAACCCACACGGTTGTACGAAAATTTTGGGCGTTTTTACATATAACCGCTCAGATTTATATTTTTTCTCTGGTCTTTCACCCATGATTTTCAAAAAAATAAAAGTAGGCACTTTTGCCTTTCAAGAAAAAATAAAAATAATTAATGTGGTGGTTTGTGTAGTGTGTGGATGGTGGTGGTTCTGTTGTGTAAAAGGGAAGAGGATGTGGTGTGGTACGGTGGTGATAATGATGGTAGTTTAGAGAGAGAGGGTGGTAAAATAAGGGTATGTTCGTAAAATAACTTTTATTTTGTGAGCGGTAAATGGAGAATTGAGGTCGCTGTTTAACAACCTCCCCCCAACCCTTTTTTGGAATCTTTTAGGGGTCGTTTGGTTGGGGGTATTCAACAAGGGAAAAGGGAATCAACTACCATGAATCCCTTTGTTGATGTTTGATAGACAAAATCAATAACTCCCTTTACCCCTCTCATCACCCCATTTTCCTCTACTCTAATTACCCACCCCCTCCCCAAAGGGAATCACTCAAACCCCCAAAATCCTCTTCAGCCAACTACCTTGACCACCCTTAAAAACACATACTGACCACCAACACCACCGTCCAACCACCGCAACTATCACCTAACCAACACAACTATCGCATAAAATCTTAAAATATTCGAGTATTACAATCTACCCTCTTTAAAACAAGTTTCGTCCTCGAAACTTAAAGTAGAAAAGTTTAGGGTATTACAGAGGGATGACATCCACATTTACCCATGGAGTTGGTGCGGTGGTAGATGAGGGAGGGGTGGCGATGTTGCAGGGAAAGGGGAGTAGCTTCGCCGGAAGAGAGGGTGGGGGCCGATGAAGGGGGGTGGGGGAGCTCGACGGCACTGGGGGTAGGAGGCTAGATCGGAGTTGGTTGTTGCCCTTGTTGGCTGTGCAATTGTTTTCAACTTCATTCCATTCTTTTGAAGTAAAATAAACAACCGATAATAAATTAGGGAATTGCTTTCCATTCCCACTCTTTCCCTTTCTTTAAATCATTCCCTTTCCCCTTTGCGAACCAAACGACCGCTTACTATTTTCTTCTCCATTGGTGGTTTCCTCATATCATATTTTTAGTATTTTTCATAAGACTTTTTGTAAAAAAAACGCTATCTAATAAAACTCAGCTAGATTTTGTGAGAAAGTATCTAATAAAAAATTGTTGTAATAAATTACTTAATAAAGGTAAAATGTTGTAAAATCTATCTAATAAGAAAAGGTAAAATGTTGTAAAATACTACGTTCCTACCTACTCCGGATTTCACTGTTGACCGACCTCAAAACACTGTATAAACCACCGCTTTCGCTTTCATTCCCAAAACTAATTTAATTTGCTTGAAATCGCCTCCACCACACCTAGACCACCTTTCAACCTCAAAACCACCACATCTAACCCCAAAAACCACCGTCCCGAAGCACTAATCTACGCTCACCGACTCGTAATATCCTCCAACCACCCCGAAAATAATTTTACCACCTTGAAAACCAGTGTATAAGGTGGATCAACGTCGTAAAATTCAATCAATAATGGAAAATCGGTCAAAGCTAGTATCTTACAACATTTTACCTTTTATTAGGTGGTTTCTTACAATAACATTTTTTTATTAAGTTTTTTCTCACAAATTTTAGGTTTTATTAGGTAATTTTTAGAAAAAGTTATTTTTCATATTGCATATCCTCCCCACTTATACTTATTTTGACTTTTTTTAAAAAAGTTTTTATTCTTCAACCAATCTCATTTTCATTGCAAAATAATAATTTTCACTATTCATCATAAAACACCGTGTCTGAAAATGGGGCAAGTTTTAACATACAAAGGAAGTATTTAAAAACACACCCGGCCCATTCATATTTCGGTTAATTATATTTTTTGGTTCCACGTAAGTTCAAGAAACCAATGATACCAATCTAATTAAAGAACCCAATTTCCAAAAAATTTCAATCCAATCCAATTTAATTCAATTCAATGTAAATTTCAAATCAAATTCATCAACTTAATAATTAAATTTGAATTGAATAGAAACATCGGCTTTTAAATCTTGTAATCCAAATACTACACACCCCTACATAAACATCAATGGCTGATCTTTTAGCTTTTAGGGGGCGTTTGGTTAGAATAATGGAAAAGGAAGTGAAAAGGAAGGAAATAAGAAGTGGGAAAGGAATCATGTTACTAGTAGTACTACCTTTATTTTCATTTGTTTGGTTGAATTATAGAAAGGAAACCATTTGTGTTTGAAGAAGGTAAGGTATTTGTTAACATAGGTTTTAGACTGGTAACAAATGGGTGGAATCCCTTACCTTTAGGTAAAGATAATTGTTACCAAATCTCAATTGATCAAATATTTGATAACGATAATGATTTAGCCAAATCTATTTGCAACCTAAAAAATATGCTAAGACCCTATTTTTTTGAGCTTCTGAGTAGTGCAGAAAAGGGATCAACGTAGCAGATTTGAGTAGAGCAGAGCAGATTTATTATTATTATTATTATTATTAATTATTAACTATTATTATTATTTATTATTATTATTATTATTATTATTATTATTAAATATTTGTTATTACGCGCCCCAGTTTATATAGTTGATAAACGTACAATGTTTATATAGTCCTACGTGGGTTGTAGTTAGCTCTTTCGTGGGTTGTAGTAATCTCTGACTTTGGTACCTGTTGGATTTTGTAGTTGATTGGTTCTTCCACGTAGCTTTACATCTGAAAAAAATCTGACCGTTCCAATTCACGACGTTAATTAACGATTTCTGTCCGAAGTATCCTATTCATAGTTTTTCGTGGGTGGTTGAGTTTTGTCTGCGGTTTACAAGCATAGCTGATTACCTTGTTGTCGCTTGAGAAGGGGCTAGGGTTTGGATCACGGGGGAACTGGAGCATTGAAGCCTCTATAGACGGGGTTCTCCGTTAGTATGTAAGTGAGTTAATTTGATTTGTGTTTTTGTTGTTGTAAAATTTAGCGAGTTGGGGTCGCATGTGTTGGTATTTTGATTTTTTATAGTGATTTTGAAATTTTATTACCTGGTCATTTCCAAGCATGATTATAGAAATTGTTTTGGTAATATAGTAATAACATGATTATTGAAATTGATTATTGAAATTGATTACTGAAATAGTTTTGTCTCTTGTGTGGGCATGTTTGTGTAAAATATATTTGAGATTGTGTGTTGAATGTTATTCATTTTTTGGAATATCGAGACGCGCATATGTACTGTGAAGATATTGACATTCTATATATTGTATTGCATAACGGCTCACTCAATGATGTAGTGTAGTGATTGTTAAAGCTTGTTCTGGATGTGTATTTATTTATTAGTGATATTGAAGAATGGTAGGAGTTAGATGTATATGTGTTTTCTGGATTGCATTTTGTTAAAAATATTTTAAAAGGCCCGATTTCTGCACAGATTTCTGTTGGTGTAGGGGTGGGAATCAGGATTTATAAAATGGAGGACGTAGGATTTGTAGGTGGTGAAGGTGGTAACGGAGTGTGTGATTTGGGAAGTGGCGTTAATCCCCTTATGGTAGAGGATGATTTGGTTAATGGTGTTAGTGGTGAAGTTAGTGTGGAGGAGTTAAATCCCACAGGTGATGGGTTTACAACACTAGCCGCAATGAGAGGAGAGTACGTGTTGTGAGGGGCAAGAATTTTGTCCTCCCTTTAACACAGTAGAGACTATGGAAGCTGAAGTCGATAGTAATCGTGGTAGTGGATTTAATGTTGTCAATGCTCCTTGTGTGGGAATGATTTTTAAGACTTAGCAAGATGTTGAATTTTATTACAAAGAATTCGCACAACAAAAAGGGTTTGGTGTGAGTAGGGTTGTTGGTGTGTACTCCAAGGATGGTCTTTGGGATAGGATTGCTATTACTTGGAGGTTTGAGTGTTGGGGTAGGCCAAATATGAGGGCTGTTAGGGAAGCCAAAAAAAGGGCAAAAGCAATGGAAGTTGGTGGTACAGTTGGGGTGGCTGGTGCAAAAGTTTGTGAGGATGAGCTTAGTAGGAGAAAGAGAAAGTCTAAGAAGTGTGAGTGTAAGGCAATGATATATGCAGGGCGGTGTAGTGAAGGGGGTTGGGTTATAAGGAGAGTGGAGTTGGAGCATGCTAACCATTCTCCAAAACCAGATGATGCAAAGCTTGTGAAGGAGTACCAAATGAAGAAACTCACATCAAGTGTTAGGAGGAAGTTGTTGAAATATCATGATAAAGGTGTACCAGTTTCGCAAATTCATGGGTGCTTAGAAAATGATAGTGATGTAGAAGAAAGGTTGCGGCTGACAGTGAAAGACCTTCAACACGAAGTTTATAAGGTAAAGAAGTTGAGAATGGTGGGTGGTGATTCAGCTGCAATGATGGTGTATTTTGAACAAATGCAAGCAGACAACCAAAATTTCTACCATGCACAACGTTTGGATGAAATGGGTAGATTAAAGGATGTCTTTTGGGTTGATGCAAGGAGTCGTGCGGCCTATGAGGAGTTTGGTGATGTTGTTTGCTTCGATGCAACTTATCTTACAAATAATTATGACCTTCCATTTGCTAATTTTGTTGGGGTAAACCACACTCTATCCTGCTAGGATGTGCGCTTGTTTCCCACGAGGACTGCGATACATTCACATGGGTGTTTAATCAATGGTTGTCTTGCATGAACAACCGTGCGCCTTTAGCTATTCTTACTGGTCAGGCCCCGGCTATGAGGAAGCCCCTAGAGGAAACCATGCCGGAAACTCGTCATTGGTGGTGTATTTGGCACATAATGAAGAAGATCCCTGAAAAACTTGGGAAATGTGATGGGTATTGCTCTACTCTTGTGATTTGATTTTAATTTTCTAACTGCAAAAGTTTATGTATTTTTTAGTCTTTGTCGGTGTTTGTATAAATTGTGTGAAATTAAATGAAAAGTTACTCATGCTTGTTTTCCTTTTTTTTTTGTCGTTGGTGAATTAGCTACAATGAATCGAAGAAAGAGTTGAAGGTTGTTGTGTATGAGTCTGACCGTCCTAGAATTTGAGGACCGTTGGAATGAATTTATTACATAGTACAAGCTCGATAGGATTGAGTGGCTTAGCTATTTGTACAAAGAGCATCACATGTGGGTACCAGCTTTCATGAAGGAGTATTTCTGGGCTGGTTTGAAGACAACACAACGTGTGGAGAGTATTAATAGCTTTTTTGATGGCTTTTTGACCCGGAACACCAAACTATATGAGTTTCCCCTCAAATATTCACAAGCCATGAGGAAAAGGGTTTGCGATGAAACGGATGCTGATGCAAATTGTTGCAAGTATATTCGAAGACTAGCTACCGGGTATAAGGTGGAGAAGGTTTTTCAGAAAATTTACACAGACTGCAAATTTCAAGAAGTCCAAACGGAATGTATTCGATTGAATTATTGTTGAGGATCGTGTGTTTGGATTGTGTTGGAGGGGTCAAGTGAGGAGTTCATAACCGATCGTAAGAGGCTTTATTCTGTGCAGTACAACAACAAAAGTAGAGAGGTTTCATGTAAATGTCGGAAATTTGAGACGCATGGTATTATGTGTAAACACATGATGAGGGTGTTAGATTTGAATATGGTTTTTGACATTCCAAGTAAGTACATTTTAAATTGGTGGCGGAAAGACATATTTCGCAAACACACTCTAGTTAAGGTGGCTTATCATGATCCTTCGGACACTATAGAAGTGAAAAGACACAACAAGCTAATTTCTGCATTTGAACCGATTTGTGATGGTGCTGCCATGGTAGATGATGAAACTGTTGTTATTGTGCTTAAGACGTTACACGATCATAAATTAGACACAAAACATGAAGTAGGGCAAACATACAGTGAGTGCACCATAAATTACTAAAACTATTTCCATAAACACCAAAATATTTAGTGCACCATACATTACTAAAAATTAATTCAAAAACACCTATATAGAAACAATATTTAGTTACTACATGAAGAAATAACTTAGCATCAGATAGCAGATGTAGGCACACATAATGAGTTAAACACCCTTGCTAAATAAATTTATGAGTCACTTTTCCGTAGTACACAAATCACCCTTCACTTACACATTATCAAGCATTCCTTGTGCTAGGGTTTACACGATTTCCAAAGTACTTGCTGAGCCATTTTCTTGGCTTTGCCCTATTAACAAAATTTCTGAAACGAGCCAATCTGACTCTCACCGCAGCACTTGCCTTGATTCTTTCCTTGTTGGACCAAGGACTGATGGGGTCCTGAGGGTTTCTAAAAGGCAGTGGTTGAATAATGGAGAGTAGTTGAACAGGTAATAAGGGGGAGATCCGATGTCGTAAGAAGTTGTTGATGAGGCGCTCATCATACTCAGCCTCATCTTCACTTTCATACCCCTACTCTAGCGCGAGCTGTGCAACGAGAGGTGGATTTGGCCCAGCTGCTAGGCCTAGTGGGCAAGCCAAGATCAGTGGGTCATATTTGGACATGTTGCTTACAAGCAACCTATCCATTGCTGCTTTTGCTAGAAAATTGCAAAAACACAAATAGTTTTAGTGTAAAAGTGAGTGACCAGTGAGGAAATGAGACATTGGATGGGGATACAAGGCAGTAGTACTCTTTTATACTAAGCCAAAGGTGAAGATTTATTATTGTACACCTTAGTAGTTAATGAAAGTTGGTAACCATCATCTCAAATTCATCTAATGCATTACGCCTCCATTTTGTGCATACCAATAAAGCTTCATCACATCAACATCCACAAGGGCAATGCACATTGGTTTATTGTATGGTCTTGAAGGGTTTAATTCAGTAACCCTTTTTTCCTTCAAAAGAATACCTTAGCTAGTATAACATTAAAAAATTGTACTCAGTTTTGAAATACAAATTGTTACTCAACCAATTTGGCAAATGATCCTTTAGTTCCATCATTATAAAGGCTAGAGTCATAGATGAATCAAATCACAAGAAAAGTTGTACTGATACATAAAATAGAGATGAGTCACATACTTATCGAAAATAGAAGACGAAAGCTTGGTACAAATCAAATCTTCAACAACAATAAATACTTTAAATAAAATAAAGATACCAAATAACTAGTACAGATACAAGGCTATTTCTAAAGCTAAATGGTCATACATAGTTCCTTAAACATACATATACTTCCATAATCAACTTGCTACTTAACCATAATTAAAATGTTTTATACTACTACCGCAGGTGTGACATAGAGTGCAACTACTTAATTACACAACTTAATTAAACAACTTAATAATAAAACAATTAATATAGTAGAGCAGCTTCAAATAATCCCCACTAGGCCTAAAAAATAGCTGCTCATCCAAAAGTGATCACATATGATCCGGACTCTTACTTAGATGGATTAGCCAAAACCAACGTTGACTTTTGTAATACTTAACTTAGAACTGCCACACATAACATTAACCGATTCCTAATAGAAAACACTAACGATCAGAGTACCACCATAATCCATGCCAAGCTAGATATGAAATCTATATGAATGGATTATATTAGGCATTAAAAACAAGTCATACTCATTTTTAATACCCACTCCCTGAACCGTGTCCACCGTGGTGTAGTGTTTGTCTTCATACATGACTTCAATATGGCCACGAGCAAGGTTCCTCTGCAAGCCCCATTCCTCGAAGATGTCGCCAAGCCTCTGATGTGGCCTTCCTTGAACCCTGACCTTGTTTGGGAAGGAAACCACGCCTCGTAAATAAAATTGCCTAAATCGTGTGTCGACATTGTGCTTTGGGTTCTACGTACCAATTAAAAAAAAATTAACTACACAAAGTTTTCAACATATTTTGGTTCAAAATACATTTAATATTGTAATTGTTTCAGCACTTTATGCACTGCTACACATTCCCTTAATCATTCTACAACATTTCGATGTTAATAATTAAAATTTTGATTTTCTTTATTTTAGATAGTAGAAAATTTTAATTGATTCGCTCAACTGTGTCATGTACTCCCATCCAAGTTTTTAACCTACAAATAGCCCAAATAACTACATGTTCTTCACAACTTAAATCAACCAGTGTGTTCTCCTAATTTAATTAAGGAAACCTTCCATCTAAACAAGGAATTTAGTTGGTCTTGGCATTGTCTAAGACCCCACACTATGGATGCAATTTGGTTTAAAGTTCACCTAGGGTGTTTTAGTAGTCACAGTACTACTCCTTACTAATTTTATTTTCCCCTTATTTTCTCATACACAAAAAAAATTGTCCACATTGATAGTTGACTCTCAATCTTTAACATTAATCGACTCGTTGACCACAACCATATTTTTTGCTCCGTGTGTACGTAGTGGTAACATAATACAGCTAAGTCAAGGGGACCTAGCTAATTCACTTCGCCAACATGCTATGATTTCTCTTGTCCATTTTATTTTTTTTAAAGAAGTGTGACTTTATTGACTTAGTGGTCGTGCTCAAGTATTGCTGTGTACATGTATTAAGCTAAACAAATCTTAAGTGTCATATCGCAAGTTACAATTGTAGAAAAAAATTATGAATGGAAGTCAGACCATGTGTCATAAGTCAAGAATTTACACATATGTTCACCCCACACGTGGCACATATCACATTACCATTTTTGTAAAATACACCCCTACCCAAAGCGTTAATCGAAACAAATAAGTAATTTAGTACAGAATTGGACATATGTAACGATAATTTTGCATATTTAAACCAAAACTACTTACTTAAACTATAAAGGGAGTTAAGAATTATACCTTTAGCCAACAAAGAGCGTACAGTCACCTACCAATCACCTACCAATCCAGCTGATTGTGGAGTGTTAGAAGCTTCTACCACCGTTATTTTATCCTTGCAGATAACAATCTCATCTTTTTGTCGATCAACTCTCCCCACATAATCTTGATAAACATAGTCAAATGTCTCATCTTACCTCACGATGTACATAATATCCAGGTCGCTGAAGGTGTAGGTTTTCACCCGAACAACAATATCTGGTGGTCGATACATATTCATTGACCTTGATCCATCCGGGATAGGATGTGGTGGAACAAGAGGAAGTGAGTCAAACCTATAGTATGACCTTGACAATTGCTCCCTAAAAGGGTTTCTAGCAAGTGGCTTAATTATAGTAGAAGTGTCTCCTTGAGAGGACCCCTCACCGCAACACCTACCATGGTAAGTGAGTATTAAGGGTGAAGCACAACCGCTATTTTCTGACCAGACACCACCAGGCTCCGATCTGCCGTGAAGAAAGCCCCCGCTCCTCCAAGTTACAACCTGGTGGGGCTGAGAGACACCCATGAAGTCATAACCACTGTCAGGCAGCAGCGGTAGTGATGCAGAAGGAGCTGGATCCTCCGGCTGCGGCGGAGCTGGTTGAGGAGGCGATGGAGTTGAATTTTCCGCGGCCTCTTCCCTTGCTGGTGGCACTTCCACGTCGTTCTCAGGCACAACGTGCTCCTCGTTTTATGGTTCAAGCTCCATAACCTCGACGTCTAGAACTGCATCGGGGTCTCCGCGACGTCTTGGATGACGGCGGTACGCATCAGCAAGCGTGGTGGACCTTCTACGCCGGTGGGGAGGAGGGGGACGACCAAATGTTCGGGGTCGGCCAACCGGTACAAAGGTGGATGAAATCCCAGCGACAAAATCGAGAACTGTAACCGGCGGTGGCGAACTCATACCTTTTTTACCCATAAATTACTACTATGGTCAGTAAGAGATAAGGTGAAGAAGAAGGTGGATTTTTAATGCAATTCTAGCCTCTCTTTTATAGTGTGTAAAGGAAGCATTTATGGGTTGACGCAAGGAAAATTTTATTCACATATTACTGTTCATTTGAATGGTAACTTGGTAATTTTTTGTGCGATACAGAAGTTCTAAAATGTAGTGAAAATGCTATTTATCAAAATACACATGAACGTGTTACGGAGTGATAAGTGCAATTAACATAATTATGAACTATACAATTGTGACTTAATAAGTACTTGTCTTTTATTTTCATGTTAAAATAAAAAGATGTAGTTCATAAAAAAATCATTACATCCTTTCCCAAAAACAGTCGTTGTAACAAAATGAAATCAACTAATCCACGTTACACACTATAAAGTAAAGTCACCAAATTATTATTAATCCAAAAATAGGAAGAAAAAAAATGTGAATTAGGCTACGTGGGAATAAGACATAAATTTTTTCATTTACCCCCATTATGGATTTTAGGTTTCGTCTTTTATCTCACCATTACCGACCCGATTTAAGGTTTTGGGTCACTTTAATCATCTTCACGTATCGGTTGACTTTTCAAATCTTAATGTGTAGTCATATTGGTATTTTTTTAGTAAGCAAAAGGAGAGAAACACATGAAATTCAAAAGGTAAATATTGCATCTAAGTATAATGTAATGCTATTTTAATTGTAACATAATGTTTTTTACTTAACTCATTATCCTAATGACCATGCCAAGGTGGATGTTATGTGTGATGATTTGTATGATATGCTCTGGAAGTTGTTTAACCATTATGATGCTATTGTTGCTTCTTCCTTTTTCAAGAATGGTGCTCGTGATTCTAATTTTTTTTTTAGTATGGATAATAATGGTCAAGAAAATTCAAGTTCATCAAATAATGAGCAAATAAAAAAGTTTTATGATGAATTTGATGAGGAGGAAGGTGAATGTTTGGTTGAAAAATGTGAATTGGATAATTATCTTGAAGAAGTTCGAGAGAAAAGGGTTGAAGGGGATATGTTTGATATTTTGCAATGGTGGAAGGAAAAAAGTGAGAAATACAAAGTATTAGCAACAATGGCTAAGGATATTTTGGCTATACCAGTTTCTACGGTTTCTAGTGAGTCCGCATTTAGTACATCGGGTCGTAACCTTGATCAATTTCGTAGTAGTTTGGGGTCCAAAACTGTGGAGGCTTTAGTTTAAGCTCAAGATTGGCTAAGAGCATCAATATAAGTGTAGACATTGAGCGCTTTCTAGAGGATGTTGAAAAATATGAAGAAGGTATTGCCATGTATCTTAGATGTTTTAATTTATCTCTTAAATGATTAAATCTCTTACTAATCGTGTGTATAATTTTTATTTTTACAGAGTTGGATAATAGTGGGCTTACACAAGTTGATGATATTTTAGGAAACAATTGATGTAAATGTCTATTTTATTATCTTCTTTCTTATTAAAATTTTATGCTATATTAATTTTTTACTCACTAATTTTATTTTATTTTTGTTTTACAGGGAGTTAGAATAATGTGGTTTATGCTTGGATCCATCATTGGATTAATCAAATGGCTTGGAGCTTGTATTATTACTTTTGTATTGTGTAGTGGACTTTTATATTAGTTGGTTTGTATAAACTTTTAATTTTATGGAACTTTTTCCAGGAACTTTTAATTTGTAATTTATATGTATTTTTAGCTTTAATGTGTACTCCTATTAATAATTATGTGTATAATATTGTGTGTTATAAATTAAGATTGTACAGGTTGCGGGTTTTACATTATCATAGAAATATAGCATATAAGCAATTTAGTAGGAACAAATTTTTTAAAAATTGTTAAAAAAAAGTCACCGGGTACCCGGTCTTGGAACCAATCCCATCCGGATCCAATACCATGTCCAAATATTTAGGACCCGATATAACTGGTTCCGGCTCGGGGTCCAGATTTTTGGTACCCGGTGTAACCGGTTTCGGGTCCAGGTCCAAAATACCCAACCGGGTACCCGGGTATGCTTACCCCTATCATCACACACAACATCCACCTTAGCATAGTCATTAGGATAAAGCTTTTTAAAAGAATACTTCAAAAACCTAAGCTTATACCGAGGATCTAAAACAACCGAAACTAACATCATGATATTAGTCTTACCAAGATCTCCATAATACTTATCAAACTTTTCCCTCATTTGCTTACCCATAACACGAATATCTATATTTGTAAAGGTTTCCCATTTTATAAAAGAGTTTAACACACCTAAAATCTCATGAAAATTCATGTTTGAAGTGACATACAAACTTCCCGACATCTTCTTTGTAGACTCATAAAATTGCTTCAAACACAAAGCCAACACTTTAGGGTTTGTTTGGCATCAATGTTGGTTTTCAGTTTCCTTTTTTTGAAAACTAAAACAAAAAATTTAAAACAAGAAAAAGGTGTTTTCACTTTATTGTTGTCAATTTTCAAAATTATTATGATTTTTATAAGTTTAAATAATTTTTGATTCATTATGTGACATATATCATATAATTTTATACAACAAAAAACCTAAAAACAGAAAACCACAACAATGCCAAACGAACCCTTAGCATTTACCCAATCTTCTTTTGTGGGAACTCCATCCTTGAGTTCCTTACTAAAATCGGGATCATCTTCCTTAAACCTATTAAAGGATTTTTCAAACTTCAATGCGGTTTCAAGCATGATAAATGTAGAGTTCCATCTAGTTGATACATCAAGACAAACTGAGCCCTTACAAGACACTTTAACAAGCATAGAAGAGTGTGCAAACAATTTAGCTCGAGAAGGTGAACTCCTCACATATCTAACGGCACTACGAATACGAGCAATTGAAGTCTTAACACTAGATAAACCATCTTTCACAATCAAATTTAGAACATGACAAACACATCTCATATGAAAAAGTGACCCATCTAGAACAAGTTTCTCATGAAAATTTGTTTTCAAATATCTGATTGCCACATCATTAGAACTTGCATTATCAACGGTTAAAGACATTAATCGATCCTCAAGTCCCCATTTAAGAACGCATGCCTCAACAACTTTCCCAATTTCTTTACCTTTATGACTATCCATTCACCGAAAATTCAAAATCCTTTTATGCAACTTCCAAATATCATCAATGAAATGAACAATCAAACAAAGATATTTAAAATTCTGAATTGAATTCCAACAATCAGTTCTTAAAGCAACTCTTGATCTCAAACCTGTAAAAGTGTTCTTCAATTTTTCACTTTCACAAACAAATAAATTTTTCACATCTCTTGCAACAGTAAAATGTGAAGGTATATGAAATTGAGGGACAGCAACATGACAAAAGTATCTAAAACCTTCCCGTTCAACTACAGAGAATGGTTGCTCATCAACAATAACCATTTTAGCCGCCAATGCAAGTCTACATGAATTTTGATCAAATCCCCAATTAGAGACTACTGTAGTATCGGATGGAGAAGCTCTAAAAACATAAATGAGTTTTTGCTTCTTGTCTATATTAGCAGGGAACTTTGGACATGAATTAAGGTGCTTTTTTAGTGATGAAGTGCCATTATTAGTATTACCTGTTAAAAGTTTCTCACAATACTTGCATTTGACTTGAACAATTTTATTTGTTTCCGAATCTCTAATGTCCCAATAATGGTTCCATAGCTCCGACTTCCTTTTGTCACCAACCTTTGGTTATTTGTTTGTTGCATTTCCATTTCCACCGACATCACTTTCATTATCCATAGGGCCTCGTTCAGATTCAGATTCGCTCATTACTAGTTTGAAAAATTATAGTTAGTAACAAAACTATACAATTTTAGTAAGGTTTCCACTAGTATGAATATTCAGATTCCAAAACCTTACTCTGGCCGACAATAACTATTATAATTATAACAAGCCATAAAGTATAATTCATAAATTAGAAAATAAAATGTAGGAAAATTGTATTAGTGGACATGAAAAGTTGAAAACACTTGACTAAACCTACGCACAAAGAAAATTCGTATATACTAGGCAAAATTTCTCAACTCAAATCACAAACACATTCATCTAATCTCGTATACTATAATAATTATAAAAAAAATTTATCTTAAATTTGTTCATTTAATCTCATATACTAAGAAAAATCGTATGATATTCACCTCAAATCATCAACAACAAATTTTGTTACAAATTACAACAAACATTATTAAACGGACAAAGGTGAACAACTAAATATAAAAAAAAAAAAAAAAAATCAATTTCATATGAACATTTTCGCACAAAGATTAGATGAACAAATTTAAACGAAAATAACTTGATAAACATAAAAAAATTCAAGTAAAACGAACATAATTAAACAAAAATTACCACGAATTCGCTTAGATAACCATGGAAGAGTGTATGACGCCGATGAACAAAGATTAAACTTGAGATTTTGAGATATCTAAGGATTAAATTTTGAAATTTGAAAGAGCTAGAGAGAGGAGAGAGTGTGAAATGAAGTGATGGTCGCTGAGAAATGAACTAGGGTTTTTCCTCATATTGGACTTTTTAATAAATGGGCCAAATTTATCTAGATTCTGGGTAAATGGGTATAAAAAATCCAGTACTAGTAACCGGGTACCCGTTATTGTTGGATCCAGTACCGGGTACCCGGTATCGGAATTTGTTTAACCGGGTACCCAGTGGGTACTGGGTCCAAAAAAATTTAACCCGGAATTGGAACCGGTTGCTATCGGTTCCTAAATATTGGAACCGGAACCGGTGGTACCGGGTCCTAACCGGTTCCAGTTCCAGTTCCAAGACCGGGTACTTGGAATTTGTGCTCACTCCTAGTAATGATGACCTTGCAATACCCCTAACATTCCAACACACAACATGAGATTCAGTGGGGATAGGGACACATGGGGAGTTGACAAGATATTTGTCTCTCTGACCCTGAAAAGGTGTGAGGTGAACTTTATGATATCCAGGGATGAAATGGGCATTTGTGTCAAAGGACACGACTATATGAAGAATATGATGAAAACTGGGTACTTTTAGCACCTGGAAGCCATCGATGTATGTGCCCATGCAGAGCGTGAGGGGAACATGGTCAAGCTCCCAAATAAGGTCATCAATGTTAATGAATGGCTTCAGATCAATTAAATGCAAGGCTGGCTGGAGGGACAGGGGTTGAAAATTATCAAGATATGTTCCAAGGCACCAACTCAAGAATATGTGAAACTCTCACTTAAAGGGGTATGTATCATACACATGTGGTAGATGGGCTTGTTTAGGATCACCTTAAGAGTCTACTTCTTTCATCACAATATTATTAATCTGGCCTAGACTAGGGCTATCAGGGTTAAGTATGAGGAATACTAAAGTGTCGGGAGTTAGAGATGTTAGAGATTCGGTGGATGGGTCTCTAAAAAAATACTCGAACCGAGTAAAATCCATCTTGGGGGTTAGTCCTTATGGGGGAGTGAAATACATGAGAGCCAAACAACCGGCTTGAGTTCGTGCCCTTCGCGGCATTTTCGAAGTAACTTAAAATGCCTTCAAAACTGATTTTTGGAGGGAAGATGGAAGGGAGGTGTGGAGGATTTTGTAAGGTGGAATTCGGTATTTATACTACTAATAGGTACTAACCCCAACAATTATGGGAGACGTGGGTATACTTGAGCCGTTAAAGTTTGGAATAAAATCTCATGACAGACATTCTCAATTATTCCCAAACAATTTACTACATTAAGAGCTCACACGTGCAACATGTGTGTGTTGTTGAAATATCAATAAAAAAAACAATAATTAACAATGATAATTTCTATTATTTACTCATTATGTAATAATAAATACTAGTAATTACATTAAGTCATTAATATGACACAATATGATGGCCGTCAAAATTGGTAATTCTAAGAGGGATTAATGGTATTCCAAATGCGCATTATAATGGAGGTGTGTTGCTTAACAACTAACTAACTTAAAGAAGATTATAACACAACCAATCCCGAATCTACTTGCAAGACACACCTCCTACGTAATTAATAACAGAAGATACTGGAATTTTTATAGAAATGGTATTATGTTGAACAACCTCGTTCCCTATTCGCAAAGGAATTCGTACTAACTATGATTTGTATTATACTAACTATCGTACAAGGGGAAGTTGCTAGTGAAATCACTTTTAAGGGATAGACGTTGCAACGAACTATAATAATTTAAAAAGGGCTTCAGGATACTCGTTACTATAAATTCTAAAAATATAATGTAATCATTAGTTTTTGCTATGGGATAGTAATTACTACAATCACCCCCAATCTCGCAATGACTTCCTATTTCCAACACAAAACCCTAGTAACAAGGGCTTCAAAGAGTATTAAAACTCTTGTTATATGTATTGTGAATCGGATTCTAATTAATATATTTTATCCCAATCATGATTAAAATGACTAAACTCTCAATGTGCAACATGTTGTAGTTTTCTAAACAACGAAATACGTTTTGGCATGTCAACTATAGTAACTATTAATGATCACATGTGACATTGGTGTGGTATTATAACCAAACCAAACTTCGTTGGAAAAAGTGATTTAATGTACTCATATTCATCAAAATGTGCGTTATTTTGTTTTCATACTCATAAACGTTACAATATATTGGCGATCGTTGGAATTTAGGAATTCCCTATTCACAAGACCCAAGACAAATGATTCTTCGACCCGTAGATAAAGGTGGAGACCCATGTTTGAAAACCAATACTACTTTGTTGTTCATCATTAAAGACAAATTAAAGACAAAATAGTAGG